GATATTTCACTTTAAATAATATTTTTATAAATTTTTTTATTTAAAATATTTTCTTTATGTTTGAAAAAAAAAAAAAATTCCAAAAACCCAGAGGGGGGCGTGACCCCCTTGGCCCTTGAGTGCCTCCGCCCCGAGTGATACCGAGGTTACATTTGTTTTATCATAAAATATTTTTTATGTAAAATGATTTTGTTCAAAAATAAATTTTTAAATTTTTTTCTCGGTATATAGTGAACATTTGTTTGTATATTATTAAATAAAAATAAGACAATGATCGAATGCAACAAAAATAACAGTACCAAAACATATAATTCCAATCAATTACCCAATCATAATATATGCATATGGAGAGAGACTGAGAGAGACGTTCTGTAGGTATGAAAATAGTGAAACTTGATACGTATTAATCGTGACGAAAGAAAAAAAATACCAAATTTTTTAATGTAAATCATTTTAAGTTTTATTATGAAGAATATTTTAATTAGAAAATATTTTATTTATGTTTTGACCAACCAAAAAAACAAAAATAGGTAAAATAAAGGAAGCTTAAAAGAAAAGAAAAAAAAGTATATATTCAAATACACAAATATATAAGGAAGAAGACTTTAGCGTTTCAAAAATGTTAGAAATTTTAAAAATTCTATTAAAAATTTTATCAAATATCTGGATTTGAGACTCACATGGATGTAGGACCCACATTGTATGGGTCTTACACCCATGTAAAACATTTGATAAAATTTTTAAGATCTTTAGCATTATTCTTATACTGTGTTTGGTTGGAGGATTTGAGGAGGGATTTGGAAAAGGAAATGGAAAAGAAAAATATAGGTGGAATGTGAATAAAACATACCTAGATTTCACATAGTTTTATACACTTTTTCTATTTTCATTTCTAAATCTCTTTTTAAATTCCCTAATTAAACACAACGTTAGAGTTTTTATTTTCTTCCTCTTTTACCTATTTTAAGGAAAAACATATATAAAAGAGCTCCATTCCGTGGTTGTAATGGAGAATATCCATTATATCATCTAATTATGAAATAATAATAATAATTTAAATATATTTTAAATTAAAAAAAAAAAATCATTACAAACCCACCAAAGATAACTGTTAATAAATTGCCAATACAATTGCAACTAAAGATAACTTTTAATAAACTGATTAAGCTATGGATGATTTAATTAGAAAAGCATTAGGTGATGAAGCCATGCGTTTAATTCTCTCCCAAAGTTGACTTTTTTATCTTAATGGTCTCATCAATAAATTTTATTTTGTTGATAAAAAAAAAATACAAATTCTTGTATAATGAAAATGGATATTTTTTTATTATAAAAAAAATTACAAATGCTTAAATAATACAATGGATATCTTTCATTACAACTTTAGGAGGGAGACAATTAAAATACATAACTTCATTACTTTATTTTATTCTTATTAAATCATCCATAACTTCACCAGTTTATTAAAAGTTATCTTTGGTGCAATTGTGTTGGCGGTTGATCTACAAGATTCAAACACATAGAATAAGTAATCATGTACAAATTTTAAATATTTGATCCCTTTGTCATTTCTGTGAATCATAGGATGAAAGGTATTTTAAGGAAAAAAAATTTGTATGACATAAAATTTTAACCATTAAATTATTGAGAGATTAGACATATTCAAATTGAAGGTGAGCACTATTTTGATAATCTATTGTTCAAGCCTTTAAAGTGTTGAAATGTTGACAACATTGTACTTCTGGGGGACGCTGAATGCTGTCTTTGTTCAGCTAACTTTTTTGGAGACTTTGTGTTATATTTCGATCAATATTTGGTCTTTTCTGTGGTATGTGATTAAGCTTCATTAGGTGTCTTGGTGGTGGGATTCCTTCATTTAGATTGTGTTAAATCTGGCTGTCAACTGATTATTCTGGTATCAGAGCCTGCAAATGTTGTAATATCCCTACGGAACATCCATTTTTTTAGTTCAAAAAAAATATATTATGAAAATTCTAAAATAACCCCCGTGATATTGATTCATGATTATGTTCAATTTTAAATAGTGAATATCAATCTTAATCAAACAATCTATAACAAATCAACACAACGATTTAATATGGAAAAAAATCACAATTGGAGCGACTCCAATTGTGATAATAAAAAAAAAAATCACGAGTTAAAGCCATAAAACAATCTACTAGGAAGATAAAAAAGAATTACACATGTGTATCCTCAATTATTTAGCGAATCCATGCTCAAATTGAACCAACTTCGATGTACCTCTTCTACCACCATCTTCACCACGACTCGGCGATGAGTCACTTCAGAATCTACCAAAGTTTCAGACCCAAGTTCTCCAGAATCCAACAAAGAACACTTCTCTTTTTTGTGAACATAATAGTAAAATCAACCCCTTGAGGAAGTTAATATGATGCTCGTAGATTCATTGATCGCTCTCAAATCATTAAGGAAATGCTTATAAATCACTCTCTAATATACCACACTTTGGTTTTTCTTTCTCTCAAAAAAGTCTGGACGGGATAAACCCTAAAAATAGTGAATGCCGCATTTTATAGAAAACAAGTGGTGAAGATCCCTAAAGTGCACACTTCACCGCTCGAGTGGTGTGAGTAAAGGTTGTGCAAAACATATAGGTCGACCGCTCGAGTAGTGAAACATTTTTCCCAGAAGTTTAATTTGCAGGCAGAGATACTAGATGCTCTTTATTCACTGCTTGAACGCACAAATGACCACTCAAGTTGTCAAACAACTTTGGCTTCGGGGGCACTACCCCTTGACCCTGCCATGGGGCACTGCCCCCTCGACCCTCGCAAGATGACTAGGCAGCTCGATCCCTGTACATAGTCAGTGAAGTGACAAACATAAAAGGTTCAAGATTACAAGCTCATCTGCGTGGGCACAATTTAAGTTGGATTCTCATCTAAACACTCACATCTTTACTTCAACAAAAGAACAAATAAAATTATAACTGAAAGTAGTTTTATTACAAAAACCTAACATATTACTTCTAGACTTTATGCACACCCCTTTTACCTGAGTTGATGCAATCATAAGTCAAAAAGGCTAAAGACTTTCAAAATGGGGACTTGTTAACTTTTTTTTAAAACTATGATTCCACCCCTAAGCCAAACATAGCCTAATATTTGTGAATTTTTTTTTAAAAAAAATTCACTAAAAACCAAAAATACTAAAATTCAGTATATTCTTTATATTTTTGTGTATTTATTCATTTTTAAAGTATTTTACACAAATATTTTAATATTGAGATACATCTAAATAAGATGCATTTAAAAAAGTAAAAAAATTTGCTTAAAGTTATACTATTTACTAAAAACAAAAAAATATGAAAAATAAAAAACTCAATTTCTGAAAAATTGAATTCAAAAAATTGAAACTAAACACACTGAATATTCTTCTTCTGCCATCGTTCTCTTATTTTATCTTATCTTATTTCTCTCTCTTTATCTCTCTCTCTCTCTCTAAAATTTCTCCAAGAGCCTCACATTGCCATTGCTATCATCGCTATTGTCATTGACCACCAACCCCATCGCCATCCACCGGCTACCACCACCATTGTCGTTGACCCCCACCGCCACCACTGTCTTCTACTCTCTATTGTCGTCGTCATTTGCTATCATTATCGATCTACATTCTACCATCACCAATCTACCACCATTGTTCACCAACCACTTCCACTATCACTGATTTACACTCCACCGCCACTAATTTACACTTTACGTCTCCGATCTCTACGCTACTGTCGTCAATCCATCAATCTAGTTGTTTCAATGATGAAATCGAATCTAAATGACTCATAACAATATGATTTTTAGATCTTACCCATCATCCTCTCTCTTGTCTCTCTATTTTTCAGTGATAAGTTTATCAGTCTCTGATTCTATATGTATATGTATGATGAGAGTGTTTTGTGAATAAGTGTGAATGTGAATGGGTGAATTGGCGTTTGTAATTTTTTCAAATTACTCAATAATAAATTCATCACTGATATGTTTAGTGATAATATTCACTAAACATATCAGTGATAAATTTATCACTAAATGTATCTTTAATTATTTTATTGATCTTGTATTGATCTATGATGGTAGAGAGAAATGTGAACTGTTTTCTAGTAAAGATTTATTTTTCCTCCTCATCTTTTCTCTTTATCTCTCTTGTTGACTAGAACTAAGAAGGTGGTGGCAGTGGTAATACGGTGGAGAAGAACATTGTTTATGTTAAAAAATGATCGAAAAAATATCAATGGAAATTACTACAGAGAGTTAAATATTGGTTAATTAGAGACAACGGTCAAGGTGGCCACCGAAAGTAGGAGGTAGTTGTTGGAAGTGGTCGTCGGAGATCAGAGGTAGTTGTTGAAGGTTGGAGGTTATTGCCGGTGACCTGAAATAATTGCTGACAACACGGGTCATGATAGTAGTGTTATGATTGATGTACTGAGGCCTGGTCTGAGAAGTTGGTTATTTTAGTAGGTTATCACTACAAGAAAACAGGATATATAACACAGAACTTTTTGCGACGGTATGGGTGCTGTCGCAAAAAATGGTTTTTTTTGAGACGGCGTGTGTTGCCGTCGCCAAAAATGACTTTTTGCGACGGTAGTGACCCCGTCGCTAATAAATGTACAAGAAAAATTCAGGAGCATTTGCGACGCCTGGTGTACCGTCGCAAAAAAAAATTTCTTGAGACGGGAAAAAGTTACTGTCGCAAATAATGGACATTTTGTGACGGTAAAAGTCCATTGCAAACTATGTCGTGTTAAAACGACGTCGTTTTATTTGCTCATATTTATCATTTGTGACGGTTTAAATATGCCATCGCAAAAAGTGAAAATTTCCTCACCCGCTCATTTATCCCATTCGCGGTGAAATTTTCCCCTAAATCCCTAAAATACTTTTGAAAGCAAAATCCCCCAAATCCCTAAAACTTGAAACCAAAATCCCCAAAATCCCGACCTCTGGGTTCCAGCATTCAGCATTGCTAGTGACGGTGAACGACGATGAGGGTAGACGAGGGTGAACGGCGACGAGCAACGAGTGGCGGCTAGCAGCGAGGGTGAACGACGAGGAGGGTTGACGAAGGTGAACGACGACGAGCAGCAGCGAGTGACGGCCTTCGCAAACCCTTCCACTCTCAACTCCCTCCTGGGTATGACCTCCAGAAGACTCAGGCCGTTCCATAGGGGCGAATGGCTGCGGGATGAGCTTCCTAACTTCAACAAGAAGGTCTGTATATTCTCTATTACTATTTCATATTAATTGATATTTTCAAAAATAACTACTCACACAGAAAGGACCTCTCTCTCTCTCTCTCTCTCTCTCATACACACACTCTTGATGATGACGGAGAATAAATCTGAGTACACTACAAAATACCACTGCTCACGTGAAAGTACCACTTCGTTTTTAATTTGGTGTTGAAGGTTGTTAGAATATTTTGTTTAATGTTCTCTATTTTGTTTCCATTGATGGCATACTTTATTGAGGACTTCTTTAGTTGATCTATCATTTACTTCTCTCACTTTGAGTAGGTATGCAACATCACGTGCGCGCTCTGATGGTCTTCTTCTGCTCTGTGCAGGGAGGGATGCTAATAGTGTGGTAAGTTAATGTATTCTTTGCATGCTCAATGGATTCAAAGTATTGAGATATTATAAGCCATGTACTTAAGCTAGCTTATTGCCATTCTGAAACGGTTTAGTTTTTCTAGGGCATTGATGAACTTTTTGCCTTTATATGTTTTCTCCGCTTAAGTTGGTTGTTGGCTTTCTTTTTTACTTTGGGGAGCCGACAGTAGCACTCGTTGAAAGATCTGTATTCTCTTGTATTTTGGTTCCTTTCAAGGAGCAGAACCTGGAGTGTTCAAAATTTTCATTTTAGTTTGTCTATGAATGGTTAATTTGGCATTATTCTATGTCTACTTGATGGTGTCTCAGTTATTTGACTTTTAGGAGCTTTCATTTTGGGCCATGCAGCTATATATAAGAAAAAAAATTGGTATAGTTTTGGTTTAATATGCATGTCCTACTAATTAGGATGGATTGTCAAGTTGAATGCATGTGAGATAGTTTATCCTTGGGGTTGCTTTGGGAAGAGACTGTTGTCCAAGTTACTCCCACGTTCTACCATTTGTGAAACTTAACATTAACTTCATGGTTAAGATTAGTTAAAATTTGGTTAATGTAAATATGAAAAATGTTATAGTTGATATTGAATTGAATGGGTCTAACACATTATTTCCATGTCGAGATCAGGTAAGATTTGGTTAAGGTTAACATGAAACAGTTGCTGAAATTGAATTGGAGTGTGTTTAGCCCATTAGACTCTATGCCACCAACAGATTGGGTGATGGTGTGTGAGACTTTTTAGCCAAGAGAGGGTTCCATATCTTGAGTGTGTAAGGTCATCACCCATCAGTCATCACCATCAGTCATCACTTCCTCTATTTGGGTTCTTGGGCTTGTATCTGTTGGGGTTTTTATTCTGTTTTTCAATTTGTTTTTTTCTTTTGGGAGTTAAGTTTTGTCCATTTTTTTACATGTTGACTTGACTTTTTGGAAGATGATGTCTAATACACGCATATATGTGTAGTTGTGCATGTGTGTGTGTTTTTGGTGGAGTTTTATGGTAGTATGTTTGCTCTGAACACACTGTTATAATCTGCTATGAACATTATCTTTCAATTTTATCTATATGATTTATTCTCTCTAATGATATCAAGATAAATCACTTCCATTGTTGTTAATGCTTAACCTTTTACGTCCTCTTTGAATATTTTTGCAGCCACTGGCAAGTGCATATGGACTTGCGAAACATAGAGATGGTCGGTGGGAATGGGCAATTGCTCCTAGTGTCTCACCATCTCCTAGATATCAACATGCTGCAGTGAGTTTTTCTTTTATGTTAAAAAAAATAATAAAAAAAACCAGTGTTGACTTCTTTTATGTGGCTGGAAAACCAATCTTTCACATGTGCTCCACTCTTGTAGGTTTTTGTTAATGCGCGGCTCCATGTTTCTGGAGGTGCACTTGGTGGTGGACTTATGGTGGAGGACTCATCAAGTGTTGCAGGTATGTTCCTTGAAACCTTGCAAGTATGTTGACATCGTTGGTGTCAAAAAGCTACACTTTTATATGACATTTTTTAAATCACAAGGATCTTTATTTAAGTACACAAGGGTTTACCTTTGAAAATCAAAGATGGAGTGCCTACCTAATTGTGGTAAGCAAGAACACCAGAAAGCTACTCGATGCACAACGTTCATTTGTTCCTTATATTTGCTCGTATACTTGCACTGAGATTGAGCTTTTGATGTGGGTATTATCTAATGGAAATAAGGTTCTGCAAGTGAACTCTTATATGCTTTGATGGGTGAGGCTGATTGGTTTCTGACGAGAATGTAGCAAATGGCAATAAAATGGTTACTATATACACATTATTTAGAGAAAATCTGTCACATAATCAAGTGCAACTCTCATGCTTTATACTCCCTCCGTCCCAAAATAATGGTCCCTTTTGGGGAATCCAACTTTTTTTGGTAGCACAATTATTGTACTTTTAAAAAGTTGGTTTTCCAAAATTACCCTCACAAGGGTTTACCTTTGAAAATCAAAGATGGAGTGCCTACCTAATTGTGGTAAGCAAGAACACCAGAAAGCTACTCGATGCACAACGTTCATTTGTTCCTTATATTTGCTCGTATACTTGCACTGAGATTGAGCTTTTGATGTGGGTATTGTCTAACGGAAATAAGGTTCTGCAAGTCTCATGCTTTATACATTTTATTTGCCACTCAATGATATGATAACTGATCAGAAGGTTGGCTATAATATTTGGTTTATAGATTCAGTTGACCTCCTCTACATATGATTGTGCAGAGAAATCATTATATACTGGATTTGTTGCTGAACTATTGGAATTTTCACTTATGGATGTTAGCTTGAATTTTCTGGCTGAGATATAGATTGGTCATTTGGGTCGTAGGTGGGCTGTTGATTATTATGAGACAACTTATATATCCTGGGAAAGTTGTCTTGCAATTCAAAAGCATAGTGAAGGATGACACTAGGCTTAGTAATTTTATGTTTAGGCATTTACCCCCCCTTTTTTTCCCCTTTGATAAGATTTTATTAGAAGAAAAGAAATAACTGACCAGTTTCTCATTGTCATTGAGTGAAACCAAATTTATGAGTGATTCAAGAATCTTCTATTTTTAACTTTCTAGAAACACGAGGGCACATCATATGGCCTAAATCATGGACGTAATCAATAGCTGGGTAATGTGTCTCTGCCTGCTGCCAACAGTCGCTTCGGAATTATACTGTATGGGTCGATCCTCCTCTCTCGTTTGTTTTAGCAATTTATCCTAAGGTCTCCTTGCCAATAGCATTCCAAATGAGAACAATGAGAATTTTTTAAAAATTGCATACCAGGGTGCCACCTTCTAACAAAAATTTATCTTCTTCCAAAGACAGTGGACCCTCATCAAGAATTTAACCAAGAGCTTCTTCACTTTTGATTTTAAAAATGAAAAAGCCGTTGTCAAGTGTAACCACTTTATCCACTAGAAGCAGTTTCATTTATGATTTTTTATTGAAAGCTTCATGGCATCAATTTCTCTCATATCTCTTGTCTTGTTTGTCTAGTCCTGGATATTGCAGCAGGAGTCTGGTGCGATACAAAATCTGTTGTTACTACTCCCAGGACAGGCAGATAAAGTGCTGATGCTGCTGGTGGAGATGTTGAAGTTGAGCTGACGAGACGCTGTAGGCATGCCGCTGCTGCTATGGGTGACCTGATATTTATCTATGGTGGTCTACGTGGTGGTAAGACATGAACATGTGATGGAACTTCAATTTGTTGCATTTTGTTTTAGATTTCAAGCTGGCAAGTACTTTCTAGCATCTGATATGGTTTTGCATTCTGATACCCCAGCATACTATGGTGGATCTGTTCTAATTCACATTGTCCCAGCACAATATTCATCTATCCTGATTTGCACGTAGTAAAGTGATATAGCCTTTCAAAGTGCTTGAAGTTGTTGTCTATGATGCTCAATTGATGGCTCATCCTTCTTTCGAAAAATGTTATATTTGATCATAGTTGTTAAATAAAATTAAGATTTGAATCATGAATCAAAATCTTACTTTTATAAATCGTGAATCAAATCAAGTTGTAATCATAAGTTCTGGAGACAAATTTTAAGAGAGATAAAAACCACATGTAGACAGGTTAAAAAATCAATGTGGAAATGAAGGATTTGACAATTTTAGGTCAAGAATTGTCCCATTACACATTTTTAGACCACCATGTAGGCCCCTTAATCATATAAAGTGATGTTCCTAAATCAATCTCTTAATCGCACAATTCAAACCAATCCATCAAAAATATTTTCAATTTTTTTCAAACTTTTAAGATGCTCCTACATTAGCCAGATATTGCTATATCTATTATAAATAACATGTTTCATTGATTAACAGAATATGGGCATTATAATGTCAATTACGTTTCAATTAGTTTTCCTCACTGAGAGATGAATGGTTCATATGTGTTGATATGCATCTCTGATTCTTTTATGTTAATGATTTAGTGTATCTCAGTAGGCTTGATTGGATTGTTTTAGAAACTAAAATATGTATGGTTCAAAATATATTTTTGTAAAACAGAGTGGGATATTTTTGTAGAGTTGTTTCATTCAAGTGTCAAGTGAATGATTACAAGTATACATTTAAAATAGATGGTCATCTGGGGTTGTCTCCCTTCACCATTCACCATTCACCATTTTTGTTTAATTATTCATACTTTGCCTTGTAAATCCAGCAAACATATTTAGTCAAAGCCTGACCCGAATCAACAAGGAACCACAATTCTTCCTATCAATCACTTAAAAGAACAGTACTGAAGACTGAACGAGCTATGCATATAAATATATATATTCCATTAAAAGTGTCTTTGCATTCTTCGAGAATAAGTAAAGAAATTTATGTTTTCAAAAAACTACAATCTGGATCTCTGTATCGGATAAGTGGATCCATGCAAATTTACCCATCATTAATTCATTCAATGTCTTTTACATTTCCATCATCTATCAATTTTTAGAATGGAAAAAAGAAGACCATCTATATCTATATCTATAAAGTGTACATACGAAACTTGGCACACACGACCGCCTAGGCACGAAACTTGGCACACAGAAGTATTGCTTGTCCCTTTAACGACTCCTAATATTTAATTATTAACACCCTCGCTGTCATCTTTTGAATACTTGAGAAAAACATGCATACTAGAATTTTATCTTTATTGTTTCTACCCTTGACGACAATAAGGAAATTTGCTCTGAGACTAACAAAAAAAATGTTGTATTTGATGTTGTTGGGAGTTAGAGCCAGATTTCAGATATAATTTTTATGTTTTTTTGTATTTGATGCTAGTTGTTAAATTTTTATTTTTGTATTTGATTGAGATGTTTAATTATCTATGTGGGATTTGATGACTAACAAAAAAAATGTTGTATTTGATGCTATAGTAGTTAAATTTTTATGTTTTTTTGTAATTAACATTAACACATAATTATATTGTCATTAATTATTTTTATTTTTATTTTTCAGATATTTCCCATGTAGGAGTGTGCTTCTTGTGGAATGCATGCCTGTGGAGAATGTGGCTAACTTTTGTTTTTGTTATCTACGAAGAATGATGAGAAAAACA